CTATCTTGTGAAAGAAGAGCAAAATGGAAGGAATGACGCGACCTGAAATCAAACTATACTGCAAGGTCATAGTAATAAAAAAACAACAGGGCACTGGCATAAAAATGGGCATACAGATCAATGGGACAGAAGGGGGAACACCAAATAAACCCACACCTTAAATGTTAGACTGGAAACCATGAAAATCCTGTAAGAAAACATAGGCAGTAAAATCTCAGGCATTTCTCATAGCAATGTTTTTAATTTTTTCCTGATATATCTTCTCAGGCAAGGACACAAAAGAAAAAGAAACAAATAGGACTGCATCAAAATAAGAAGTTTTTGCACAGTGAAGGAAAACATCAACAAAATGAAAAGACAACCCACTGAATGGGAAAACATATTCATCCACGATACATCCAATAATGCGTTAACATTCAAATTTTATAAAGAACTTATAAAACTCAAAACCAAGAAAAAATTAATTAAAAAATGGGCAATGGACCTGAATAGACATATCTTTAAAGAGGACGTACAGAAGTCTATTAGACATGTGAAAAGATGCTCAACATCACTAATCATCAGAGAAATGAAAACAAAAACTACAATGAAGTATTACCTCAAACCTGTCAGAATAGCTGTCATCAATAAATCAACAAAGAACGTGCTGGCAAGGATGTGGAGAAAGGGAACCGTCATGCACTGTTGGTGGGAACGCAGATTGGTGCAGCAACTGTGGAAAGCAGTATGGCGTTACCTCCAAAAATTAACAATGGAACAGCGTAGTGACCCAGTGATTCCCCTTCTGGGAATGTATTCGAAGAAACCAAGAACAGTTATTCAAAAGGATATGCACACCCCTGTATTCATTACAATATTACTTACAATAGCAAAGATTTGATAGCAGCCCGGTTGCCTATCAGTAGGTGACTGGATACAAAAGCTATGGTACATTTACACAGTGGAATACTTCTTGGCCATAAAAATGAAGGAAATTCTTACCTTTTGTAACAACATGGATGGACCTGGAGAATATTATGCTAAGTGAAATAGCCACTAAGAGAAAGGCAAATAGCTTATGATTTCACTTACATGTGGTATGTAATGTACAAAATAAACTAACAAGCAAAATAGAAACAGACTCATAGATACAGAGAACAGACTGACAGCTGTCAGAGGGGAGGGTGTGGAGTTGGGGAGCCCAGTCAGAAAAGATGAAGGAATTAAGCAAAGAAAAGAAAAGAAAAAGAAACAACTCACAGACACCGACAGCAGTATGGTGAGTACCAGAGAAAAAGAGAAGTCAGGGGAGGCAGAAGAAGGTAAAGGAGGGATAAATGGTGATGGAAGGAGACTTGACTTAGGGGAGTAAAACACACAATACAATATACAGATGATGCGTTCTAAAATGGTACACCTGAAATCTATATAATTATACTAACCAGTATCACCCCAGTAAATCTAATAAAAATATAAAAATACAGCCCTGGCTGGTGTGGCTCAGTGGACTGAGCACCATCCTGTGAACCAAAGGGTCACTGGTTCAATTCCCAGTGTAGGGCACATGCCTGGGTTCTGTGCCAGGTCCCCAGTAAGGGGCATGCAAGAGGCAACCACACATTGATGTTTCTCTCCCTCTCTTTCTTCCTCCCTTCCCCTCTCTCCAGAAATAAATAAATAAAATCTTTTAAAAAATACGAAAAAAAAAAAGCGAAATAAAACACCCATCAAACACGTACACCTGCTCCTAATACTACTGTCCCAAACAACCACTCACTGTGCATTTGCCTTGCTTTTTTGTGGTACGGAGATAGAGCGGGGCTGTATAGGACCACTCAGAGACCTGAGCTCATTGCCACCAACTCTACTAAGACGATAAGATGTCAGACCCTTATTTAGGTGAATCCATACTTTGATTCAGGCACTCTGTGGGGTGCCAGGATATAAACATTAAAAAGATGCAATATGTGTCATTGAGTAGCTTTTTCTTTTTGTGGTGTCAATGGGCAAGTAACTAGGTATTTATAATAAAGTGTGATAAATTCTGTGGATGGAGACACATTGGAAGAGCTCACTACTTCATTTCTGAGTAAGAGAGGTTTCGCCAGTGAAGGTATGGTTTAAGTTAAGTCCTGAAGGGTTTTTTTTTATTGTTGTTTAAAATTAGATCAGTAGAATTAGAGGCTGAGAGAAAAGGGGCATTTCTCATAGAAAGAACAAGTGCTTCAGTAGTGAGTGAAGCCAGATTAGTAGTTTGTTGTGGCTGTTGCTGTCACTTTCCATGTGATGTAGCTTTGGAAAGATAGCAGAGGGAATAAGTAAACAGGAGTGTAGTAGAAAGGATGTCAGTGACTTTAAGAAGGGAATTGACCTGATCAAGCTTATATTTTAGAACCATTTTTCTGTATTGTGGAGAATGAATTGACATGGTGCAAGGCAGGAGCCATTTTTAAGCATCAGGAGGCTCTAGTAATGTGGGAGGAAAAGGGTGAGCCCAGTCCTCTCTTCCAGTAACCTGGGAGAGGAAAGAAAAGGCCTAAAACAGCATAGTGTCTGGGAAGATAGAAGTGATTAAATCTAAATGATAATTAAGGGTGTTGGATAGTCAACACCCTGTGGTTGAGTATCTTTGTTCACATCTGGTCAAGAGGGAGAGGGCTGTGTCAAGGATGATGCTTAGTTTTCTTTTAGGCATACAATTCTAAAAGCATATTTCCTAAATATCACTTACTTTTAAGAATCACTTGGAAACAGCAATGTAATAGCCTAGTCAGTCACACCCTCCCGCTCTCCCTCCCTCTCCCCTCCTTCTTCTCCTCCCCTTCCCCCTTCTCCCTCTCTCTTTAGGTGTAGCTTCTTATCCTTGATTCCAAAATGCAAACAGCTTGGAGAACTAAAGAGATCTTCCCTAACATTGTGACAAACTCAGCTGACAGCAAAACGTACCCTGAAATTAAATTACTTATAGTCTTTGTTTATCCCACTTTGTAGGGACATTCGTATGTTTCTTTTAGAATTATTAATGTGTGTGGTGGGACGCTGCTTCAAACCATGCTGTCAGTGTTACCTGACATGCGTGTCGAAATACTCTGATAAAGCATGTCTAGCCCCAGTGGTTTCACATAATTGATTATGTACTTGTACTTTGAATCTGAACATTTTTTGTTTTTTTTATATTGCAATATTAATTTCTAATACGAATCATTATGTCACTGTGATAGAGCAAACTGTAAGATAGATTGTCAAGTGAAGCTACAAAACAGTGTGTATAGTATACTTCTGTTTGGGTTTTTTAAAAAGCAGGAGAGAGAAATACACCCGCACGTGCACATACATGGGTGTACACACAGAAGTAGAATATCTTTAAGACAAAGAGCTAATAATAGTGATTGAGAACTGGGAGTCAGTAATATGAGGAAGGCTTAATTTTCGTGTGCACGCACACATAGTGCACTATCAGATGCTTCACTATGTATGTTCTTTTTGTTTAGATTTTAGATTACACAAATAATCATATAAGAATGTCTTTGTGAAAATGTAAAGATCCATTTGCTTCCCAGATTCAATAAATACACTAACTTCATAATAATAAAGTTCAAAATAATTATTTATGTGGCTGTTAGCTTTTCCTGACATCTTGTAATTTATTTCTATCATTTGTCATTAAGACTGAATCCAGAAAATGAGTTTCAGGAATTCTTAACGTTTTTAAACGTTGAATATATGGTATTGGCTAAGATTGCCAGAAGCAGAAAGTGGAGAAGAGAAGGGCTAAAAATGAGTGTTTTGCTAATCAGTAGACTTTGGAATTTATTCCCCGTATGTCACACTGGTCGGTGATAGCATAGGTTGGAAGCCATGAGTTTAGTTTTCAGGCAGCAGATTTGAAGGGGAAAAAAAAGATAGGAACATTTGGAAAGATTGTATAGCAAGGCAAACCACACAGAGAAGTATATTTTTGGGCATGGGACTTGCGGACAGAAATAAAGAGAAAAGAAATAAAAGGCCGTTCAGAGAAAGGAAAAGGTGTGAGAAAAGATTAAACATCATGAATGCAATACTGTTTTTGGTTGTTGACTATTACATATTCCCTTCCTGCAATGTGGTAGAAGTATAATTTCATGTTAAAACTATAATCCTTGGTATTTATGATGGAATTAAAATAACTGCTTGATCAGAGTGAGAAAAATCAAAGTCCATTTATCAGTAATAAATTAGTACAGACTAAAATCAGGATAAAAAATTGCAACTGTTTGCCACATTTCTCCAAATGTGTATTTAAATTATCTTTGCTACTTGCACAGGTATTTATATTTTTAATTCCATCAGCAATATTTTTGTTTACAATGAAGAGCAAGAAATTAAATACTTAAAATATATCAATATATGTGATGTTTGTGTTTTCTTTGGTAATAGTTTGTTTTTTTAGTATTCTGCTAGACTTAGGTCCTGATTTGTAGTGTGCACTAAATTAATTAAATTAACATCAAGAAAAATTTGTTAAAATTTAGTTGTTTAGCTATGAAAGTATGAGCATATTGTTTATGTGCATATTCTTTATATAAAAGTGCAACCATTGATGGATGGATATTCGATAAAGCAAATATAGTAAAAATGTCAATTGTAGAATCTAGATGGTGGATAGAATCTGTGTGCTTGAACATTTTCATAATAATGTTGGAAAAAACAAACTAATGAAAAAGTTACTGTGAAATAAACAGATATGTTAATAGTAGAGTAATAATATACTTGACTTCATTTTATTGTGTACTGACTTTGAAAAATCTGAAACATTCTTTCTGTTAGTGGAATACCAATTTAGTAGTAGTACTAGTAGATATAAATAAATTATCTGCTCCTTTTTGATGGAAATTGTTTTGTTCTTACAAAGAGTGTTACTTGAACATAGTAAAGATATGTGAAAAAATTCTAAGGGTTGATAAAACAATTTTTTTGAGGTAAACAAATTATAGCAGACAAGGGTTTAGAAACTATTTAAAACTTTTATTCTTCTATTTTAGGGAATCTGGAAACATCAAAGCTGGATTAGAACATCTGGTAAGTTCTAATTTTCTCTTGAACATTTGCATCATCTTTGATATCTGCATTCTAAATGAACACTTTTGAATGAGCTTTGAATACCTTGTATTGAGAAAGTCAACCATTTCCCAAAGGGTCAGCTTACTGTTATTATGTGATGGCACTTACATTTTCATTTATCTTATCATTTCAAGGGAATTTAAATTTTTTTAAATTACTTTTTTTTTGATGTAGAGATGAAATAAAATGGATGACAATCCTTGGATTGATGATTGCTTTAATTATAAAAAAATGTTTGGTGTAGAATTTTTGGCATATCTTGATCTGACAAAAACAAGCTTGTGTTTTAAGAAAAACACAAATATTGCATGCATAAATATGGCATGTTTTTAGCAATTTAACGGCTTTGAAAGAAGTGCACAGCTTTGTTTTTCCTAATGTCTTTGCCTTATGAATAATTCATTGCTTTAAACTACATTCAGTTTAGAATATAAAATAATTGAGATGCAAAAAATTTGGTTTAAGTAAACATTTTTAAAGCATAAGTGAAATTCAAACTGACTGAACATTAAAATCTGTCCATTGATCAAGATATTAGAAAAAACAGTTGCATTGTAACAGGTCCAAAATTCATTGAACTTACCACAATGAGTGTTCATTACAACATTAAGTAGTTCATTTAAACAGAGCATTATAAAGTCATGCTCTGGTTTCTGGTCAAATCCAAATGTTGAATAATTAATGAGAGAGATTCTTTTGTAAATACACTCTAAGTACTTTTTTAATGCAAGACCTCATTCGTATTTCATATTGTAGCTTTGTTAACTATTAATGTGCTTTTGTTCTTCTCCCATAAAAGCAAACAGTAGTAGTAAGAGGCAGCTTCATTTTGACTTATTATAATACTAGGGTTCTAACGGATTTTTAGTTTTCTTTACTAGCTAACAAAAACTGAGGAAACTTAGACTTTTAAAAAATGATCCTAAAATTTAAAGGTAATTATTAAAAAGCAAGATATAGTAATCTAGTTAGAAAATGTGGACTATATATCAGTACTGATTAGAAGTAAATAAATAACATTGTTATTCTCATTATTATAAATTGTACCCTGAATCCCTGTTAATCACTTAATAATGGCACATATATTTAGGAAATGACATAAGGATGAAAAAGCTTAACACAGCAAATTTCAGTATCAGTTGGGGTTTTATAACAAGGAACAACACCTACCGGAGTGTCAAAATGAGCTGCCTTTTAGTTTTCTTGTAAATTACTTATTAAAAGGACTTTATACTTACTTAGTTCAGTTTTTTCAGTAAAAATGAGTTAGATTTTTAAAATTTCATATTTTTATACTTACTAGTATGATCTCATATTCAGTGACTATTTTGTGTGTTTATATTCCACTAGCAATCTTACGCAGCACTGGTTTTCTAATTGTGCCTTGGGCTGCCAGGAAGGCTCCTCAGAGCAGGTAGTGCTCCACGCTGCCTCCGCCCACTTTAGGCAGAATAGTTTGCTTTTGGTTATTTTGTAAAATTTTAAACTTTTAAAATAAGATTTCATCTGAAGAAAGAGTTCTCCAACTAAAAATTTAAAAGCCTTTGGTGAAGCTTAGCCGCTGATTAAAGTTCGGAGTGATTGCTAATTATTCTTTCCTATTCTCGAACCGAAGTTATGTTTCATTTTTATCTGAGTCATATACATCAGACATATTTCAAACATATTCATTTTAGGGGTGAGAGAGTCTATATAACGGATAGTGGGAAGTAGATGATTTTGATACATTTTATCTAAGTTGTACAAAAGACTGTAACTTAACATTGTAAAATTTTCTCAACTCTGAACTATTAATGATTATATGATTGCCTCACATAATACCACACACATATACAAACACATATATACTACACATACATACGTACATATTGCTTTGTGTACTAGTAATATTCAGAAAAGTCAGTGGTATTCTTCATAACAGCCGAGGAGGAAGTGAACTCAAGAATTTATTGGTTGAGCATTAGCAAGACCTGTCTAGCAGTTGTGGGCTCCTTAGGTTTTGTCTCTCCACTTTCTAACTGAGCAGATACTTGCAGCCCTTGCGACCCAGCACAGGTAGCCCTTCTTTGAATTAGCTGCACAGCCAAATACAATTAGAAGTATAACTTCTAATAGATTGATTTTATAAAATGTATGGAATAAACTTCAAATGAGAAGATCATTCCACACACTGAAATATTTCTTCTTTATGTAGCCTTTGCCTTTTCAAATTTATTATGTTCTATCGTTCCTTTATTTCTATGTTGCCAGCTTTCTTTGGTAACTGTCTAGCATGTTGTTCTTAGCTTAATGTACTGCCCAGCACCATTTTATTTAATTTTTTTCACCAACTTGTCTCCTACCCATAGAGCCAGTGTGTCTGCTTGAAGTTCTAGACAGAGTATGTGAAGTTTGGTACCCCATCACGACTGACGGTTCTTGCCGTATAATTTTAAAATGGAGATTTTCTACCTCTTCTGCTCCCCGCTTCTTAGCAGACAGCAATGTACTAAGGAAGAGCCTACCTTTCATTCTTATTTTTTTATCTATATATTATGAGCAAGGGCTAATGGATTTTTATTTTACTAAATAGGTTATCATTAATTACTTTCCGTATTATTTTGATGCTCAAGTTGTCCCCGATTTGTCTAGGGAGTATGCTTTCAGACATGGCTGCTGGGTCCTTTAGACATACCCCATCTTTTTGTTTTTTTTAAGTGCTCCCTATATTCTGGCACAACAGTGTAATCCAGGCTCTTATACCTCCTCTGCCCCACTCCCAGAGTCAGGCATTTCTTCAAATTACCATTTCATTTTAGAGTCAAATAGTATTTACAAGTCCAGATCTGACTTGTGATGTGCTCTTTGTCTCTGGGTTTTCATTATTTCTAGGACCTTTGAGTGCTAGATTAGCTAAATAGGTGGGTAGGTAGGTAGGTAGGTATTTTTAAGAAATTAAGTCATAATAATACTTTCAACTTTAATCCAAACCACAAAATTCTTCCTTGCCCCCCATTTCATATTTGTAATTCTCTTCGTTCAAAGTGAGAACCCCGACTCCTAACATCAATACATTTATCCAGTCATGTAATCCACATAAAACATATAGTTTCAAAATTGCTACAACCTTACCTTTAAAAAATAAATTTAATAAAAAGAGCCCAAGATTCATTTGAGTTCTTTTCCTCCTAGGGTGTAGTTAGGTTATTCATATGAAATATAGTTGCATTCATTTGTTTCTGTTTGCATTGAGTTTTAGGTGATTTGGTTTTGGGGTTTTTTTTTATTTAATTATATATTTGAATATCTGTACTTCAACATACTTCTGAAAGTCCAAATATTATATACAGTGATGCTCTCAGAGAGGTAGCATTCCCTTTCTAGCTCCTCTACTCCTTGTAGGCAGCCAACTTTTAACATTATATCCTGGGACTTGCTCCATAATTACTGTGTGTGTCATTATATTTACTGTATTTCTTTTTGTATTTGGCTGTGTCTTCTTTATTATGGATATGAGATTTCAGCCTATTTGCATGCCCGCCATGCTTTCATAGATGCTGGCAGAATACATGAGATTCTTGGGCCAGAGACTAAGTACTTTATTATAAATAGTATGAAAGGTAGTACATAGGGCATGGTTGTATAGGTTCCCCTTGACCTCCATGTCCCATGGGGTGATGCTGCACACCCAGTAGGTTTGTGTATTAGCTAAATGACTCCAAGTTTAAGAGGTCTTTAAGGACCTTAAAGAACACCTGCCCAAAGTTTCCCCAGGAGTAAGACATTGTCTTTTATTATCCTACTTGTGTAATAAAACTGCCTTCTGCTCCATGGGCAGGTTCTATTTCTGTCTTCCGAGACTGTTGGCTATACAAAACATCGTTGAAAGGCAGTTCTGAACAAAAGCCGATAGCTTATGTAAGATGTATAGGACATTAGGGAGAATTGTCTCTGAAGTTATTATTATTAAATTTTGGAAGGATTGCATTTTTTTTCTAGTGGTTACATTTGTATTTAAATCTTTTATAATGCTTTTTAATTCCCATATTTCTACTTAACCTTTTAAATGGCATCCTTGACTCTCATCTCTTACGTTTAATAGCCAATGCTCCTATGGCACTTTCCCTTATTCCTTTTCCTCACATCTCTTCTTTCTGAAATCTTGCTGCTTTGTTAGAATATGCGTATGCATACCATTCTTCCACCCATGCTGTCACCTGGTTTTAGAGTCAATTCTAAAATTGACCTTATTAAATATTTACATCAGTTTGTTTACTGATATTTAACCACTTATTTCCTGTTTGTCTAAAACTCACCCACTAATCTATTTCTCAGGAAGAACTCCTGGGTAGAGTATTCCCTGATATCTTGCACATTCCAAGCTGTTTTTCTATGGCCTTGTCACTTGAATAACAGGTTAACTAGACATGAAATCCTTGGCTTACAGTTTCTTGACTTTCTTAAAAACGTTCTGCTGATGTCTCTGGTATCAACCCTATTTTCTTATTTTCTTACCCTTATAGAGAATTTTATTACTTTTTTTTTTTTCCTTAAAGGCATTGCCATTTTTTACTTTCCTTTTTTTAAAAAAAACAACAAAAACCTAGGCTAATTCTCAAAGCTGGTTGTTTTTGATTAATTTGATTGGGCTTTCTCATATGTAGACTTAAGTTTTCTCATTTACAGAAATAATTTTCATAGATTATGGTATTAAATATTAGTTATGTTCCTTTTGTTTCCTTCTATAGGGACTCCAGTTATTTACATATATATATTCTATATAGTTATATATATAAAGCCTTTTTTTGCCATCTTTTTCAATTCCTTTCTCTGTTACTCTTTTACTACTTTACTTTGTTTTCATTCTCTTGGTTATTTTCCTAGTTTTCACTTTCTTTTTTTATTTTTGTTCAAATTTATTTTTCCTTGGACATCTTATAATTTATCCTTCATTTCTGAAATATTTTTTTCTCCCATTT